AATAATAATTTTGTTTTGACTTTAATAAAAATAGATATATAGCAGATAATTTCAGTGTCACAGTATAAAGCCATTTAAACAGACTGTAACTTGAAGAAGTAAAACTGAATCACTAGATCTTTTGTAGTGTTCCCAAGCCTTTACTGGGAGATCTTTTTGTTTCCCATAGCCTTGCCTTGAACTGTTGCCTCAGCAAGACACACATGCATACACACATTCATACATGCACACCAGGGGGTAAGCTGGGGCAGCAGATGGTGTTGAGTGTATGTGTGTGAGTTGAGGGGGGATCGTCATGTTAGATTATAGCTTATCAACCCGGTGTGTGTTTCTTCAATATTGTGTAGGCCAGCAGGTCCTCAGATAAAGGCTTATTTAAGTGAGTCACTGATCTGAGGGCAGGGATCCAGTAGGAATCAGCCATAACACAGGATTTTCCAGCCTAACTGGGTGTGCCTGCCTCATCCTTTTCCCCCACATCTACAGCACATTCAACCAGAAACACTGATCTTTCAGTCAGAATCTATGGATCACTACTCCAAGTAGGTCACGGCTCTGTTTCTGCTAGCTTTCCACATCATTGGAACAATAGTATTTTAATGAGCCTGTCTCTCAGTAGGAGAAAACACAACTATTTAGCTTGGGCACTTGCTTGTTAAGTGGCTTCATTTACATGTACGGACAGTGCCACTCTCAACCTGTCTCTGTGTGCAAAAACCAACACTCTGGCTCACCTGCCATTGTAAAAGCCAAAGTATGTAATACATGTCTTATAAAAGGCATTTGGCTAATTTTCAGTGTTCTTTTATATAAACAATCAACAGTTGCTCATATATACACATTTGACAGAACATCATGGTTCTACATTTTGATGCCATCACTTTGTGTAAAAAAAAGTGTAACATGCAGTCAGACAGCTGTTGTGCTTTGATGTGATTTTCTCTAATTCAGAGTGAGCGCAGTGGACAGCAGACACACACCAAAGGCTGTAGATAACTGAGATACGCCTTTGTCATTTTAATGTAATTTGTGTTAATTTCAGGCCCTGACCCGGTTACTCAGGTAACAGCTGATGTCAACATCATAACTGGGATGGAATCACCCTGGAAACCTCATATTCCAGTTGTAGCATTAAGATGCTGGTTCTCTACCTATTAAACAGGTTGCTGTGACGTGGAAACAGCTTCACAGTGCGTGCACAAACTTAAGCTGGCTCAGTATAATGGGTACATTCAAATGTCAACCAAAAAGGTGCCCCAAATCATTACTACTTACTAATTCTGATCATAATTCTGCATTGTGTTTACACTGGAAAAGGGAAGATTATACTTACTAAAGCCAGTATGCATGGTAAAAATTGATTTGATTTTGTGGGTGTTTTTTGTAAAAACTTATCAGGCATATTTCAGAGCAGATAGGAGGAACAGCACAGGTAAAAGTAATACCGTCACTGATGGCTCTGTTCCTAAGTGTCTCTGTTCACAGCAGCCATTTTGACATGAAATAGTAGGGTAAACACGAGTGTTTAAAACACACAAGTGTTACCAATGACACAAACTAAGGCTCTGTTCCATTCAGTGTAGCAGAGCCTTTCCAGTGAGCCAACATGCAAAATAGAAGCACTCTGTCTCTGTTTTACCTGAATGGAACTGTGAAAAAAGTCTATACCTGGTACTGACATATCAAAATGGAATGCAGCCAGCATGTTATTAATTACACCTGTGCTTTCCCTACTCAAACTACAGTCAAAATGTCTGCTGTAAAATGGCCTATAGAATACATTCTGTGTACAATTGGTGTGTAATATGTAAGGGTTAGAGTGAGGTCGATGTGCATCAAACACAGTGTTCACATGATTCCTGAGAAGAGGTCTAATTGGCGAATGAAAGTGAAAAAGTCTGTGTTAGTAGTGGACTTTGGTGTGTTGGGGCTTTATGTGAGTATAAGTTTGTTTTTAATGGACTTTATCTTTCTAAATGTTCAGCTGATATTACCAACTGTTATCAATTTTTAAAGTTACATTTTTTTTATTTAAAGTTAAATTAATTTCAGAGAAGCATTTAAATATCTCAGGTTGGTCTTTTGGGAACCTGCTGATCCCCCGTTTGTTCCTCCACCTGTGTTTAAAAGCACCTGCTACCACTCAGTTAAATAGGAACTCCTTTCAACAGAGACTCAAACAGAGTCAGAGCTTCACATCTACAGCTTAACTTGAATTAGGTACTAACCAGGTGCTAACCCATGTCCATGGTCCACTTCCACTGCATGAAGTTATCCTCACATGCTCAGTCCAGGCTGTTAAATCTGTTTTTAGGAACTTGTAATCCATCAGGATGATTTCCAGTGGTTTGTTTTCCTTGCTTGAGGCCCCTGAATGAGTTTCTACAGCCTCATTTTTATCCCCACTGTGTGCTGTATCCCTCATTGTGGTTTAATGTTTGTTGTTGTAGGAGGAAGGCTGACTCCTCACTGAAGGGCCTTCATCACTGTTTTATGGCTCCACTGGCTCTGAGACAGAAACCTTCTCTCCCGCTTCTTTCGCTTCCATTCACCTGCTACTCATTTTAATACTTTCATTACTATTTTGGAGACTCAGACTGGAAGATAGTTATCTTTTGACCTCATAAACCTAAAAATTCTAGACAGACAAGACTGGAAAGCATTCCAAGGCTCATTGACATAACCTCAAAACTGGTATTTTGCGTAAGCATTTTAAATGTATTCTACGTCCTTTTGGATTGGAAAGTTGGATCTAGAGAATGTTTTAACACCGGAAAACAAGTTTAATGTTTATACTGATATTTGTCATTGTTGACAGTAGGCTGAAGGAAGAAAGGGTGAAAATGTCACATAACGAAACCTTCTGCAACAGTAAATAGTAACATTTGCACAAGCCTTAGGAGAATGCTGGTGTCTGAATACCACTGGTTTTATGTGATATGTAGTTTCAGCCTCATGTTAGCTTATGTATAGAAGAGTGATCCCGATCAGTTCCACACAGTGTGGCTACAGTTGTTAAATAGATAAAAAAAAAGGTTCTCTGGTATCTGAGTCAGAACTGGCAGAGAGAAAGTGGGATTGTGTGTACCTCCTTTTTAAAGTAGCTGGACTGGTAGCAGTGGTATTGTTACAGTGATAATATTGCACTGTTCCTCCCAACGTTTCAAGGCCTCACGGTGACCGGTGCAGTGAGAATGTAAACGTAGTGTGTTTTGATCACTGACTCAGGCATACACACACACACACACACACACACACACACACACACACAACACACACACAAAACCCTTCCCCCATCAGTGGAATTTTGTTCCCAGGGCTGCCTGGCATTCCTCACTGCTGCATCATGGGACCTCTGCCGTGCGTGCGGGTGTGTGTGCGTGCGTGCGTGCGTGTGTGTGCGTGGGTGTTTGTGTGTACAGTCCTGCTGGTAAGAGATAGCATATCAAGCATGCTGTTGTTATTGTGGCGCTGCAAGATAAGGCATCCATCCATCTCTCACCTGTTTATTTTTACCACCTCTCCCTCCCTCCATTCATTTCTACCTTGCTTTCCCTCTCTTGTCCCTCCCTCTATTTTGTCATCCATCCTCTCTTCCCTCCCACCACCTCCCTACATAGTACTCTCTCTCTCTCTCTCTCTGTGTGTGTGTGTGTGTGTGTGTGTGTGTGTGTGTGTGTGTGTGTGTGTGTGTGTGTGTGTGTGTGTGTGTGTGTGTGTGTGTGTGTGTGTGTGTGTGTGTGTGTGTGTGTGTGTGGGGCAGGGGGACCACCCGGCTGCTGACGAAGCCGTTGTCATGGTTATGGGTGAAGAGGGGGGCTGTGATGACGTCGTTGTGCCTTAAACACTAAAGAGAGAGGTAGAAATGACTAAGATAGAGAGAGAGTGACGGTGTCTTAGATGTTGTTAAACTGGTCTGTTAAGTGCACCAATGAATCGGTCGGCCCCCATTTTCCATGGTGTACTGTCAACCAGTAAACCAGCTGCTCATTAGTACACTAACTAGGTCAGGCTGTGAACCAGCAGTCAGTTTATAAAGCAACAAGTAAACCAGTTAGGACACTCAGTAAATCAGTCACTGAGCTAGTAAACTACTCAGATGTTATGAGCAGGCAGTCCGACCACCATTAAAGGAGCATTCTTATTTATAACAAGAATATTTTTGGTAGTTTTGGCCATTTGGAAGAAGAAGCTCTTCACACAGGTTTGAACTGAGGCGGGGTTCAATTTTTTAAAAAAGTGACGTCATTTGAATGCAACAATTAGAGCTGAATTAGAGTTAGCAGCATCGTGATGACACTTGTGTGGTTGTTTACTTATGTCAATCAAATCTGATCAAACCACACCAACACAGTCCTGATGAAGTAGATCAGCTGTGTGTTTTTTACTAACTGTCAATAAACTAACCAAACTTTAAATAACTATTTAATGTTATCGAGAAATACTGGAATTTGACTTGAAAATGAGTCAACTTAGGGGCTATAATTTCTCTTGTTGACATGTCACAGTGGGCTCATGTGTAAGTAAAAAAAAAATGAAAGGTGGCCGAACTCCATTTAGTGAAGCTCCTGGTTTTGTGTATGCTAGCTCACTGGGCCTACTGGGACACTGGAATAAAGCCATTTTTTATGATTATTGTAATAATTAATAACATTGTATTCACCAAGTGAATTGCTTACATCTAGGAGCACTGCAACATTGCTTTTCTGTCAGTAAAAGTAATCAGTTAGTAAGCTGATGTACCAGTTCATCAGTTAATTAGCTAGAACATACACCAGTCAGTTGTGTGGTTTGCTTTAAGCGTTGGTGGTGAGCATCATGTGTTAAAGCCAGTTCTTTACACAGACCTTGTTGTTTTTTGTGGTGTGCTTACTCATACCAGAGTGTAAACAAATGATATCAGGGCACCTGTCTTCCGATCCATGTTGGAGGAATGTTAGGAGGCAGAATGTCACCAGTCAAACTAAATTAATGACATCACTTTCCTGCTTTCTCCACAGGTGAAGGTATCATGGCCACCCCGTTTGCGGAGCTGCCCTCCTAGAATTGCCTGATACATAGAGATACATACCTGCGCATCCCTGGAATCCACACAAACACACCCACCTTTTACTCGTGGTGTGTGAGGAATGACAACCTCCCATCTGAACGGCCATGTTGCTGGGGAGGGAGGAGGTGGAGGAGGAGTAGGAGATGAAGAGCTGAGGGGAGGACAGCAGCACCGGGAAATGGCCGTCGACTGTCCGGGAGAGCTGGGTAGTCGAACGCTACCGGTCCGACGATCTGCGCAGCTGGAGAGGATACGACAGCACCAGGTATGCACACACACACACACACACACACACTTGATTATTTATAAAGTACATTTAAGAACAGCTACGGCTGATCAAATTGCTAGTAAGTGCAAAACAACAATCTAAATAGACTAATGAGAGTAAAATTAAAAGACCAGCGTGCTATGTCACAATCACTACCCAATGTCAGCACATCTTTGTGCCAGCTGACTTCACAAGAGCTTACAGCAGTGGTGGAACACACTGAGGTGCACACTGTTCTTTTTAACTTTACTTTGCAGGTTAGGAATTTGGATGCAAAACATATGATGAAATTCAGTTTCCCGCATATAGGCCTTACTTTAGCGGGACGCCCAGGTTTAGTAACTGTAGCAAAAGTATATTTTGCGACCTGCTGTTTTTATCCGACCAAGAGAACAACGCCATCCATGACTGATTAACTTGTGGACAACCTCCTATACGGTTTACTGACAATTGCACACGCTCTGCAGAGAAACACAGAAAGAGAGAGAGACGTTCTCTGTTATTATGTTAGAAGTTGAAGAGCTGAAGGACCAGGTAACGCAACAGTGACCAGTGAACACACCTGGTCGATGCCAATGTAATTTGGTACCACATTGGTTTCGATGTCATTAACAACAAGCCTCCTCCACACGGCTCACCGACTGTTGTGCAAACAGAATAGCAGGTGGAACTGAAGGGAAAAGCAAGGTGAGCAGATTAAAGTGGTTTGTAGTAAACACTCAAATAAGGTGGAGAATTAAGTTGAATTCAAATGGTAAAATAAGAAATAACCTACTAGAAATAGGGCAATGTATTCTTTCAAATGTTTTCAAGCAGCAAAAGACAATAAATGATCTGAACCTGTAAAACTCACTTCTGCACCTGTAGTGGAGACTCTGCTATAAATCAGGAGACCTGTTATAGGTGCCTCTGTGTCACCATCTTGCTTCAGAAAGCCAAAAATATGGTTTCATATGAGCTCAAACAAACGAACTACCCAATATCAGTGAGGTCTAGACAGCAGAGCTATTTTTCTCTATGTTCCATTCTCGGGTAGACAGTTTATTTGCCTCAGCCCAGCTGATGGAAACAAAAGGATTTCAGTCAGCTCAAAAAATTAAGAAGACTATGCAAAGGAATTAGGCATAATGATGTAAATAGTGCATCGAAGTTAGGAGCACATTAACAGCTTTTTAAAGAGGTCTGTGATGCATTTATTTGTCTGTGTGTGTGTCAGGAGGATCTCCGTCGCCGTAGAGAAGAGGAGGGTCGGCAGCTGGACCTGAACGCATCGCTCCGACTCAGGAAGCTCTCCCAGCATCCCCACATCGGCATCGACAACCCCACATTCCTGCAAGACTCATACACACCACAGCAGCCAGCACTCGGCAGCCAGCACACACACGCTCTGCTGGGTAAAACACACACACACACACACACACACACACACACACACACACACACAGACACACACAGACACACACACACACACACAGATGAGAGTAGAACTCCAGATGTTGTGGGGGGGCATAAAGAAGTAGAGGTGAGAGAGATGTTTTATAAAATTATAAAAGATAATTGAAATTTTAAAAAAGGAGGGAAGAAGAGGAAAAATAAGGTGGGGGGAGAGAAAGCTGTCTGGGAGAGAAAGGAATGTAAGGAAGACATCAGGGAGGGAATTCCTCAGGGAGGGAGAAAGGACATGAGAGGCTCTTGAGCGCGACTTAATTAAAACTTTGTTAGGGGTGGTAATGTTGACACACACACCATTACACAAACAGGAACTTACGATGTAGAACAAAAGGCTTGACTAGGAAATGAGATGCAGTCTCTCACGCATGTTAATCTGAAGCTGGGACAAACGGTCTCCTGCCATCATCTGATACTGAAGTAAAGCTCTCCTTTTAGACCTCTTTTGTTTTTGCTTTTATGGAGGTTGATATGTAAAAGTCAATGGTTATTCATGTGAACGCATGTGTTTTTCTTGCAGAGTTGGAGGAGTTGCTGCTGTCACTGAAGCAGGTCCGGGGCTGCCTTACCGACCAGCAGAGTCAGAATGACATAGAGCTGGTTCTTGCACTACTAAACAAGGTAATATAGAGGGAATTAGACAGACAGGGCTCAGTATGTGATTGTGAAATTTTTCAAGACTCTCTGGCCTTCGAGGTAAAAGGGATTCACAAAGACGAGGCAGCGTCATCACCACTGTCTAGGGCCGGAGCATCCGTGACAGCAGGGGCCTCACAAGGTTCCGACAGTTGGAATGAAGGCTTCAGTATGGGAGACAGGGCTGGAGGCTATAGATACACTAGACAAATATTTTTGGAGCTGAAGCTACTGATGGGCCAGCTTTTATGCCGTTATTAAATATTCTTAAGTTGGATATTCTTATGCCCGAAGCCAACAAATAATTCAGTGTTTTTCCTGGAACATTGTACCCCTTTTCAGGGTCAAAAAGCCTTGAATGGCCCTTTCAGAAACATTCTGTGTATTTCAAGTAAAGGAACCTAGTTTCAGTTCTGGTTCCTGTCCCATAGTGGAATTTAAAGTACTGAATATTGGTTTGCTTAAGCTCCAGCGTCTGATTGGTTATAAGAGAAACACAAGTTTTTAGCAAACACAGCAAGAACAGTATTATTGTAGCAGTGGTGTCTGGTACAGTTGTCTTTTAGGATTATTAACTATACAAATATGACACCAATAAACACAAAGCTGATATTTCAGGTTTTGGCTTTCTGTCCAAAAGAACAGTTTTACTCTCCAGGTTACTGTGTAGCATTACAGTTAAGAAGCCATCATTGTGTCACCCTTAACCGTCTTTGTGGTCACTCATTTTAAATAAAATTTTAGTAGAGCTTCAGTGATTAGTAGACTGATTGACTATTTGATCACCAAAAATCTATTGGCAACTATTGTGATAATTGGGCTCTACATTTTAGCTGATCACACAGTGCAGCTGCTGTCATGAACCTATATTCAGGTTTGTTTTGTCAGACAAAGTGGCAACGTCTCAGTGTAGCAGTGCAGGAATTACGGTTGGTCAACAGGTAGCATTTACAAGCTCAGATCAGTTCACTGTTTATGGTGCTTGTTCAGTTGTCTGACAACAGAAACGCAAAAACAACTTCATTGTGAGTTGTACTGAAGCACAGTGTGAGTGATCACATGAAGCTGAGAATCGCCATTAGCACAGCAAAGAGTTAAACCTGCCTCAACTTTTCCCACAACACAATGCAAAATGTTTTGTCAATGCACTGCTTTGTCCAATTGCATAGATGAAAACGCACATCTCTGGTGGATCACTTCGTTATAGTAACTGCATAATTGTCCTTTTTACATGGCGGTCATTGTGACAGTGGATAACGGAATTTCTTGAGAAATCCTTCCTCTAAGCATTTTCAACCACTGTTCAGTCACTATGGATCGATTACTCAGATTGGCCTTCCTGGTTCATATTTCATCATTTTACTGTGCCTGATGGCTGTGAGGCAAGATGTTGTTGTTTGCCGAACAAGAAAGGAAGAAAGAAGATTAATAATTAAAAATGATCCTAGTATGGACACAAACAGTTTTAGCATTTTTAGATTCAGCTGTCTTAATTAGAGATACACTGATCTATAAACTAATACAAACTGATTGCAAACTCCAAACTGTGTTTGCAGCTACACAACTGTATTCATTCTGTGATGGGAGTTGTACAGTCATGGTCAAGCCAACAGTCTCACTCTGTTGTATCTATTGAATTTTCAGTTTCTGTTTGATTAGCAGCAAGTGAGGCGGCAGCATTTCTTTGTTCAGTCATTATTGGCCAGTTATCAGTGCTTGTCCCGACTACACTGTTCTTCTGTTTATTTCCAAAAGACCTGAGATAGACTGAGAAAGACCTAGTAGACACTCGCAGTTCAAAAACAGATGGAAATGGAAAAGCTTTCACAAATACTGTATAAACTGAAACAGTCAGTAATAGTATAGTATTATATTTTATTGCACTTTGATTTCACTTGTAAATGTAAGTGCTGTGAGTGGAATGTGACAGAACATGTTGGTGTCTCTTTGTTCCCCTGTAGTCTGACTTCCAGTCAGCACTGAAGATCCATAATGCGGTGGCCTCCAGCATGCACCGACCCTCTCCTCCATACCCACACACACAGCAGGCACTTCCGCTGGCCATGGAGGTAATATATACACTAATCCAAATGAGTTTTATTTCAAATAAATGTTGACGTTCATCTGACAGAAGGCTAACACAGTCTCACACACACACACACACACACACACACACACACACACACACACACACACACACACACACACACACACACAAAAGTGACAGTCCAGGTCATTGGGTGTCTAATAACGGGGTTGGAGACAGAGCAGCTCTGTTCCGCATCAATTAGAGCTGAAACACCAGTGCTTACACTGCATCTACATACACACACTTTTTACATATACACACATACAGTCATTCCTGCCAGCTCTTTTATTCTGTGATCATATTTTTAAACAGCTGCCTGTTTAACACATGATACCAAGGTCAGTTGTAGCTCAGACTTTATTTAATTCATCAAAAAGAATAATTCTACTTTACTAATTTGTAAAGCAAAGAAGAGACTCTAACTCTGCAAAGTTAGATTGTTCTTTAGTTAGTTAATACGATCAATGCTGCAATTATGTTTCTGCCCCAGTGTTGAGTTGGCTAGCTGTAAGAGCTATTCATGGCTCATTTCAGTGGAATCTCATTAAAGAGCAGCACATTATTTCTGCTCCATGTTGGCCTCTTGGCCCCCTGCCCTGTATTTGGCTGGTCTGTACTGTATTCCCAGAAACATGTTCTTTGTCTTTGATGATACAGTGGAAAAGAAATGGTACAAATACTCACAAAGTACTGAAAATACCTTAACACAGTTCAACTCCAGCTCATTGGCAGACTGAAACAACTTTAAATACTTTCACATTTTGAAATTTCACAGTTGTCATTTAGAGCGTAGATTGTTCCTGACACTTTTTTCTATGCCTTTCATATACATTGTTATTCCATCATGTTGTCATCATCATGGTGTCAAAATCTTCATCCTTGTTTCTTTGTCTATCCATGATCAACTGTTTGAATCTTAACTCCCAGTTTTTTTTGTTTTTGTTTTTTTAGTTAGCTCCCCTCATATTGCTATCGATACCAATATCTAATTTCCTTCCATTTTTTCCTGTTAAAGGGGAGTTTTTCCTTTCTTTACCTGTGAATCGAGGGTATAAGGATAAAGAGTGTCGTATACAAAATATTGCGATACTTACGTGTATCAATATTTTCTTACACCCAAATATATTATAGCTATGGTAAAACTGCTCATGATGACACCAATGAGGTTTTATGTTGTCATGGTTTCAGGTCAGGAATCTCATCCAGCCAAGTCAGAACAAAGAGGGACTCGAACTACACAGCCTGCTGACAGATACACACATCCAGGTAGACACACACACACACACACACATACATGCACGCACGCATGCACGCGCACACACACACACACACACACACACACACACACACACACACACACACACACACACACACACACACACACACACACACACACACACACACATACATGCATGCACGCCACACACACACACACACACACTCACATACATGCACGCACGCATGCACGCGCACACACACACACACACACACACACACACACACACACACACACACACACACAAAGCTGTATTAGCAAATAAACAAAATAATGTCATGTGACTGTCACTGCCCCAGTCCTGTATCCGAGTTGTGCGTGTGTGTGTTTTGCAGTCATTGCTCCTGGCCCATGACAGCATAGCAGAGAGGGAAATGCAGCCTGAGCCTCTGCCCGCCCAAGGAGAAACACTGACCCAGTGGGGAGGGGAGACTGTCAAGATAGTTCGCATAGAGAAGGCCCAAGACATACCTCTGGTAAGACCAACACTCACTCACTCACTCATAATCAAGGAGAAGGCCACTACATACAGAGCTGACATCCTGTTGCCCCCAGGTGCTCCATTTTCCTCCCTCAGTCAGATTAGGGTAATTGGGGTGAATGTGTGAAAGGTAGTATGTCTATATAAGGCAGTCTGTGATGTCCAGGTCTCCATCTGCCTCTTGACTGATGTGAGCCTGAATCAGCTCCTGCCCCTCTGACCCTGTACTGGAAAAGTGGGTATAGACAGTTAACATGATACAGGATAAAAAGAAGCTCAGCTGAAATAAATAGCAGTTGGAAAATAGTTGCAGCTACAAAGGAACCTCAAGCATTTTGTTCCATCACTTGAAACACATCATCTCATACAGTATGACGAGTGCATGGCCCAGAACAAATTTCCCCCCAGGGATCAATAAAGTATTTCTGATTATGATTCTGAAAAAACATGACAGACACACACTAAAATGAAATTCACATTTCACACAGATGTATAAGTCCTTTACAGTCCTTTACTGCCCCAATCAACAACTAAAGCCTTAGTGTTTTCTTCCCTGGGGGCCAATGTCCATATTTGTCCATCATTCCACTGCCTTCCTGTGTGTGTTCTGTAGGGGGCGACCGTTCGTAATGAAATGGACAGTGTGGTGATCAGTCGTATCGTTCGAGGGGGAGCAGCTGAACGGAGTGGACTCTTATCAGAAGGAGATGAAATACTGGAGATAAATGGCATCGAGATCAGAGGGAAAGATGTCAACCAAGTCTTTGATATTCTTGTAAGTATATCCACGTGCACGTAGTTCACACAGCTCTTTGATGGAGTGATAAATAACTATATATAAAAATAGCATTTCTATAGATATTTTACTGTCCAACATGTCACTGATTTGTGATTTGAGTCAGGACTTTGTAGAATAGTGTCCTTTCTATTGATGGCAGTATTCACTGATCACACTTATTACACAGAGCGCAACAGCAAAAGAGCAAAAGGACCATGGCCTTAAATACAACGTTCAAATAATAGTCACTACAGTTCAGGTTATGGCAGTAAATAAATAAATGAAATAAAATGTGCTTTCTTCTTTTCCCGCTTTTGTATCTCTCTCTCTCTCTCTCTGTGTGTGTGTGTGTGTGTGTGTGTGTGTGTGTGTGTGTGTGTGTGTGTGTGTGTCAGGCGGACATGCACGGCCTCCTGACCTTTGTGCTCATTCCCAGCACTCAGAGCAAACCTCCTCCTGTCAAAGAGAATGTGGTGAGTTCAGTCGGACCAAACTTTCCATCAGAGAATGGATTAGAAATCGTTGACAAAAATGGGGTTTAAAAATGTCTTGATTATTATTTTTTTTGTCTCCTTTCTCTCCTGCAGGTCCACGTGAAGGCACATTTCGACTACGACCCGTCAGATGACCCCTACGTGCCGTGCAGAGAGCTGGGCTTGTCCTTCCAGAAAGGAGATATTCTTCACATCATCAGTCAGGCAGACCCTAATTGGTGGCAGGCCTACAGGGATGGAGATGAGGATAACCAGCCACTAGCTGGACTGGTACCAGGTACTGCTGTCTGTCTGTCTGTCTGTCTGTCTGTCTGTCTGTGGCTGGGCTCTTTTTTGTTCTTCTTGGGTTTTTGAGCATTTAAAGATTGTTAAGTCAAACCTTTGGAGCCTGTAACACTACACTGTATAAGCTAAACTTGTGTTGTGAGTGCTGTTTGTTTTCTCTCATATTCTCTATTTTCTTCCACAGGAAAGAGTTTCCAGCAGCAAAGAGAAGCCATGAAACAGACCATAGAAGAAGACAAGGAGCCTGAGAAGTCTGGTCAGTTCCTCTATGACACTACAACCTGGTGACTGTGTATGTGAATGTACAGAGGGACTACAAGAAATATATTAAATTGAGGGAGATTGTGAGGGGGGCCATTTTTTCCCAATTAGCTAACTTAGAGCAACCCTTAAGCCACCACCACACATACATATATACATTCCAAGATGAAATTGGGCTGTATTTCTCATGGCAAAATCAGATCATTGATTGAGTAAAATGTGTGTTACTGTAGAGTAAAGGCTGTCTGATTGTTTACAGGGAAGCTGTGGTGTGCGAAGAAGAACAAGAGGAAGAGAAAGAAGCTGCTGTACAACGCTCACAGGAATGATGGTATGACCTGTTTGTCTTTCTGTAGCTGGAGCTCAACTCTGGTGTATCTAGACTGCTGGTAGTGTAGTCAGGTGTCGCCCTGGATCACCAACTGTAAGGAAAGAGATGGAATTAGAGATAAATGTGTATTATTTCTCCAAACCATATTATAGTTCATATTTTAGTGTCATCTTACATTTGGATAGTTGCTACATGATCAAATAATTAATTTATCATAGGTATATCATGTTTGGGATAATTTCCTTGCTTTGTACATTCCAGCCTTTTCTCTTTCCTGTCATGTTTTGAAATCCTCTCTCTAACCAGTTTATCCCCATTATAACCCTGTTTCTTTCTCTCCATCGGTCCAGATGTTGACAATGAGGAGATCCTCACCTACGAGGAGATGGCTTTGTACCACCAGCCGGCCAATAGGAAGCGGCCGATTGCACTGATTGGTCCAACCAGCTGCGGGCAGGCTGAGCTTAGACAGAGACTGCTCAACAACCAACCAGAGCGCTTCGCTGGAGCTGTCCCTCGTAAGACTTAGACCGACACACGCACTGTACACATGCTTCTGTGTATTTGTGTGTAGTAACCTCTGTGTGTGTGTGTGTGTGTGTGTGTGTGTGTGTGTGTGTGTGTGTGTGTGTGTGTGTGTGTGTGTGTGTGTGTGTGTGTGTGTGTGTGTGTGTGTGTGTGTGTGTGTGTGTGTGTGTGTGTTGCAGACACCACACGGAGCCGTCGAGAAGGCGAGCTGAGTGGTCGAGATTACCACTTTGTGTCTCGTCAGACCTTTGAGGCAGAGCTGGCAGCAGGTATGATTTTATGTCAGTGAATTCCTCTCTCAGTGTCAGTTGTTTTTTTTTGATGAATTCCAGATCCATCAAAGGTCCACATGTAGCATTTTTCCATACACATCTGCTGGCGTAGCTCGACTCGGTTTGGCTCAGTGCACCAGCCCAGCACGGCAGGGATTTTAATCTCCATTACAACAGGGCTACCTGCTTGAATGTGTGTCTATAAGGCAGGGAGAGCAGCGATGGTCGAGAGAGCTCAAGATTGAATGAAGAGAGAGACTAAGGTTTGCAAGAACAAAGCAGTGAATCTAATAAATAAAATGTAATTTGCTGATTGTTTCACAGCAGTTAGTTCTAAAGCACAGATAAACACGGCCACCTTCCTCCCTGCAGCATGAAGGTGTTTTTATTGAAGAAAAGCAGCTGACTAAGTTCTGCTCCGTTGATAAACATTTAATTTCCTACAAATTCTTCTGAACTCAGTGTAGTATATACAGAACTGTGCTGCTGTCCTGTGCCTTATCAACTTCCGATCATGCCTTGTATCATTAGAATACAAGTTAAAGTGATTTCTCTGTCAATAACAAAAACAGTAATCCATAAAAAAAAAAATGTAAAAAAAAGGACTCAGGTGTAAGTTGTAAATTAAAGTTGTTGGAAGCAGACTTGAACACAAACTAACCAACCACAGGATTCTATGATGGCAGATTTTAAAAGCTAAACCACTAATAAATCATCTGCTGAATGTGAAGTCTATTCAGGAAGCAGTCTTATTATTGACCTGCATAAGCTATACAGATATTTATGCAAATTGTTTGGTAACACGTATGTATGCAAGTGGGTATTTTTCCCTGATTAATAGGTCAAAGCTGCTGTGCTTGTATCCTACTCTGTGTACCCTGTCAGTTCATTGAGTCCATTAAAAAATGTGTGACAGCGATCCCACAGTAATAAACCCTGAATCACTGGTGTACAAGATTCCTCCTGTTCCTCTTCTCTCTACTTATTAGTCATTATTCATAACATGCCGATTATTTCCAGTTTAATAATACTAATCATGCCTAGGATCAGTTATTTCCTCATAAAGAACATCAGTATAGCCAGCAGCAGTATTAAAATGCTGCATAAAGTTCAGTCAGTCACCACAATCTGATTTCCCCGTGTGGGTTTTGGTGATGATCCAATCAATGAGTTAGCTGTCCGTCTGTACAACTTCATGTTTACTCCTCTTGGTTTGTTTGTAACTGTCTGTGTGAACAAAGATCATACCAACTAAAATGCAACAATGTATCATTTTCCCCTTGGTCCCCAACAAATGAACCAAAATACATGTGTGAATTGTTTGATCCATGAACCATCGTACACCATCACTAACAGTGCTAGGGCTCCTTATATCCTTAGCGCACTGACTGTCTCCCCTCTCCATTTATCTACACATTTAGGTTGGATACAAAGTTACAGACACTGGTTATTTGTGGAAGACTCTTAGACTTGTGGACTTTTTATAAACTATTTCAAATGTTCATGAATGGTACCATCAAGCCTGAAACAAAGCAACAATAATGGCGTGCCTCGCTAAGACATGTAGTGACAGTATCATTAGCCTATAACTGAAGTGAGCAGAGACAGCCCAGGCTTCAAAGGCTTATGTATAATTTCCAGACTGGAATGAGAAAATGAAATGTTACAACATTACCAGTCATTCCTGGCACATCTAGTGCTATAAAAATAACAAAACTAAGCCAAAGTAATACACAGACTTCTTGTGTGGCTTCTCCCAGTGTGAAGAAATGATAGCATGTCAACACTTGAAACCAGTGTGACATTTTCCTCCTGTGTTCTTCCTCAGGAAAGCTGATCGAATCTGGTGAGTTTGAGAAGAACCTGTACGGGACAAGTACAGACTCTGTAAGACAGGTCATCAACACTGGAAAAATCTGTGTGCTCTGTCTGCACACACAGGTTAGTACACACACACACACACACACACATACACTCTTTCCACTAAAGAACATAGTTTAAAAAGTTGAATCCTAATGTATTTGTGTGTGTATGTGTGTGTATGTGTGTGTGTGTGTGTGCAGGCTCTAAAGGTGCTGAGAAGTTCAGACTTGAAGCCTTACATCATCTTCATAGCTCCGCCCTCCCAGGAAAGACTCCGAGCCCTATTGGCTAAAGACAACAAAAACCCCAAGGTTCCTGTCCAACTGTCTACACTATCTGTTTACACTCAGTCAAAGATAAATACCACTGCTGTTTGCCTCAATAATAATGTGTGTTTTGTGTGTGTGTTTGTGTGTGTGTGTGTGTGTGTGTGTGTGTGTGTGTGTGTGTGTGTGTGTGTGTGTGTGTGTGTGTGGTGCTGCGCGATGTGTGTGTGTGTGTGTGTGTGTTGTGGACAGCCGGAGGAGCTGCGCGATATCATCGAGAAAGCCCGGGAGATGGAGCAGAGCTGCGGTCACCTGTTTGACGCCGTCATCGTCAACCTGGACCAGGACAAAGCCTACAACGAGCTGCTACGACTCATCAACAAACTGGACACTGAGCCCCAGTGGGTGCCCTGCTCCTGGCTGCGCTGACAACACACACACACACACACACCAGTCATAGAGTAGACAGTGGAGTACACATTTCTAGACATTTAACTAACTGGAACATGAAATGCTGTGTGACAATTACAGCAGAGTATTAGAGCCACTGTTAGTCACAATGTTATGAGATAAAATGGAATTTTATGAGAAAATACAACTATACTGCAAAAAAAGAAAACGTAATGCTAAAATCATAATGCTACAAGATGAGAATGAGTACAACCATAATATTACAAAATAATTTTATGAGGAAAGGTCATACTATTGTGAAAATTTGTTTAAAATAACTTTTACAAAAAGACAAGTCATAATATTACAAAATAAAGTTTTGATTTCACCTGGAAAAAAGTAATAATATTATATAATAGTCATAATATTGCAGGGAAATGTGGTTTTTCTGGGAACAAAGTGCTGTGTGTTATGATAAATTGGATTGATTAGTACATCCTGACAGTCTTTATATTGATCCTGACTGACTGAGCTCAGTTCCACGCAGAGCATAATGTCCACTCAGCGTTCTGGCTGCCTGCCATAAAGCACACTGGACTACATTCTGATGTCATGAACATGTGTTCTGTGTGCTCTGTGGTCCAGCAGCTGCCTCTAGCACATCCAGCTGTGGGATGTATGCATCACCTAATTGGTTTCATGATATTAGGGTCCTTATTGATGAAAGCTATAACCTCAGGTCATCAATATTCCCTCAGTTGACACAGAAAAGCTAACTACTTTCCATTTTACAACTTAATTAACTTTTTGTAAATCTGTGACTTAATTCAGTTTGTTCTCAAAATTACCACCATGTTATAATACTTAAATATTACACATTTTCTGATGATAAAGTAGACTGCATTGTATCACTTGATACTATGAAAGTAGTATAGTAAAAAATATAGCTTTATCTTGAAGTATTTAAACTTTAAACTCAGAAAGTTACAACTTTCTTGTAATATTTTGACTACAACTACAACTTACAGTATTTGGACAACTTCAACAATAACGTAACATTTTCTCATGAAACTATGACTTAATTGTACGTCTGTAATCCCAACATTTATTTTATCTTCAGAATAAATTCTGGTAATATGACTTTACTCTCCACATTGTAATATTACAACTGTATCTCATTAATACACTAATTCTATTTTTATTCATAAAACTGCAACTTTATGTTAGTTCTTCTCATAAAATTCCGGCTTTATTCTTCGAGTACGGACATTTTGTCTGGATATCTCAGCTGCTATTGACCCTGATACTCTGCCGTAGTGTGGAGGGGAGACACTGAGCACACTATAAGCATCTTCTAGAATGTATTGACCTGGTGGCACTGGTAATGATAAATACATACAATTGAAAGTTTTTGTCTGTTGAGGAAACCCTCAACAAACTTATCTTGTGCCTAACTGGTCCATAATGTTTTTATTCAGCAGTGACATTTATATGATGCTGATCTCCTCCTTATCGTCACAGTTCTTAGTGAGAACAAAATATGGACCTGGAAACACTTTTTTTTAATCTTTTACTTTAAAAGTTCCTTCTCAGAAATATGGGGCGTCATTCCTGATGACTTTATCCTGTGATCATTTCAACCATTATGATTAAATATTTAAATTAAGACAGTCAATTATTTTATTATTATTTGAACTTTTTTGCTGTGCCGAGAATCAGTGTAAACATTTGATTTTTGTATTCCAGCTTCTTAATTTTTTTAAATTAAACAACTCCGGCTTGGCGCTGGTCCCGAGCACAAAACGTGTGCACGAGGCCCCTGGTGTGGAGTAAATGTGAAAATCACACACAGACACACGTCAAGTACAAATCCACACTGAGCCACCGCATTTATTGCTATGAAGAACACTCACTAACACGCATTGTGTACTTACTGTACACACCACAACAGTGCATTAGATGCTGACTGCCTCTGTACTGGGGAGCCTTCTGAACCCTGACTGACTGACTGACTGACTGACTGACTGACGGCTGGTTTCTCACCAGCACTGTACACTATTGCAATAAACACTAAAATAAAGGACACAGCACTTCCTGGCTGTCTTTCTGTCCCGTCTGATCACATTTGAGTAGAAATGAGCCTGAGGGGTGACGAAAAACCTGAAAGTTGTAGTTTTTAGTCGTGTTCCTGATCGGCACATGATGCTGCGTTTATTATTATATATTAAGTGTGCGTTTGTGTGTGTGTGAGTGGACGTATGTGTGCGTGTGTGTGCCTGTCTTTGAAGACGGTGAAGTATTATTGTGACCCGAAGTAGACCTGACACCATATCACTGTTATCACTGGGTAGAGCATTTATATATTTGTAATAATAAAAATAGATTTATGAAGTCCAGAAAGCACCAATAGGATTGCAGGTTTTGCCTCCCTGCCATTGGTCCAGGAGGAAGAGGTGGGTGTGGCTAAGTGGAATTAATTGTATTGAATGTAAAGTTTATTGATACCACTTCTTGTTTATCAGACATCACTTCTTCCTGACAAAATCTGCTTTTTGTATGAACATCACAATGAATAAATAAATAGATTGATTGATAGAAAATGACTGGCTGATTTCTTTGTGTAAAGGTTTCTTCAAATGCAGTTTTTCTCCAAAGAAAAAACCTAAAGTAACTCAAATAACTGAAAGACGCCGGAAAGTTTAATGGACTCCACATATTATTTGTCAATGAAGGTCTTTGCATCAAGTATAATGTGACAAAAATAATCTAATTATTGTAATGAGGGATCTGGCGTGTAGTAACCCAAAGAAGCCACAAGGTGGCACTGTTCTCTTGATTATTGATGCCATGTGTGGTCTTTGAAGTGGAACAATGTCTACTGCCATGCTGTACTCTTCCACATCCACCAGCAGCAACCAGAGCTTCGTTTCTACAAGTATCTGACTTTGCTCAAAGGAAACAGACCATCAGGTTCTGAGGTGCTGCTTTTATTTAGCAGCTCTGCTGTCGGCTACATGTTAGGTCTGGTTCTGGACATGAAGGTGGTAAACCTGCCCGTTTCCTGTCTGATCATGCAAAATCTAAAGCACACACTCTGTAATCGAGCAGAGTCTTCCAAGGAAATGACACATTTCTACAGGTCTGATCCACCCTCCACCCTTCACTCCCCCACAATGCTGTCAGACTGCACTGAGATCAGCATCACAACACCTCCCTCCACTTATTTCCCCATCAGATTCCTCTGTAAAGGTCAGGACACTTGGAGTGGACCAGAGGAGCATGTTCTCTGAATGGTTCACTTTACAAGGTGATAAAAAGTTCAAGACATAATGAAAAAGTCCAATTGTCACAGAGAAATACTTACATTACATTACATTGTAATTACATTACAACTTTATCATCTTTATTTGCTGGGTGTTTTGGTGGAAGTTCTTCATTTATTTCATTTTATGCCATCAGTTAGTGCTACTTTTCATGCGGCCTTTGTGTCCTTTTGATCTGAGCTCATCTTTGGTTTCCTTTTCAACCTGTTTGAACAGCAGACAGAGAGTCTCAGGCAGAGCAAGAGGTTAAACCCCAACCTATGTGTGCCTTTGCTTAAAGGGAGAATTCACTTTAAAAGAAGAAAAGAAGAAACACAATAGTGTTGGATACAAATCTGGACAAACTCTCACTTTGGTACATGTTAAAGTAGTTTTTGTTATTAATATTATATTATTATATATATGGTATTCATTTGCCTGGCCTTATGTGGACTACATCATCTTATGAGGGGAAATCTTATTTATTTAATCGTTTTATTTCCTGTCCCTATACAAAGTCTACTTTTCATCATATTCCCGTCTTTCCTACTCAGACCTCTGGGCTGCAGTTTATTTCTTGTTTTCTAAATAATATTTTAGTAAAATGTCAGGATCCAAACAAAGAGCAGCAGAAATACTGCCACACTGCAAAAAAAAAAAAACACACAAAAAAAAAAGATGAATTAACTGACCTGGGTTGCAAAAACATACATATGAATTACATAATGTACATTCTTGTTTATATTAGTACCATCTCAGAGGAAAGAAAGAGAAAGGACTGCAGTTTATCATCATTATTATTGTATTATGATTATTTCCCTTTCATTCAATATGGGATGAATTAGATGAATAATAATCAAAAAAAGGCTGATTAAACGGGTGACTCAGTTCTCATCTAAGAAGTAAATGTACTTTATAATCCAATTAAACTAAAAAAGTAATACATGACATTAAGTCTAAGAGACAAGAGATTATATTTTAGGTTATTTTAGGCTCATTTATCGTGACAGGAAGATATCTGATTGGACAGGTTTTTCTACATATATGTATATATGTGTTACAGGAAAATATATCTATAAGGCATCAATAAAATATTAGATATTTTGTTATTTGATCATTTAGCAAGAAATGTGTAACAAATAACTGAATAACGTAGACGTGCCTGTTCCTGGGCCCCGTTTGTCGTGCACACTGTGGCTAACTGACGCCGCTGACTGGGACATTTAAATGGAACTGAGCCATATTCATGTTAATAGTTACACCGTGCTTTTACTGCTATGACAAACAAAATGTCTACCGTGGAGAATGTCTGTTATGCTTGGCCAACCACTGTGAAGGTTTATATATTAAAGCTGTGCTTGCTGAATGCTTAGGGAGGTTTAGGTGATGTTAGGGAACATATCTGGTGAGCTAACTGTAGCTGTGTATTTGTCTAGTTGAAAAAACGGAGTAACTGTATATTGGCTGATAGAAATATGAGGTAAAATAGTTACTTTACAAGTTCAAATTACTATTTAGCTAACAAGCTAACATGAGAACAAACTAACTAGGGATGGAACATCATGATACCTTCATGGTTTGTTGTGGTTATCTTTTGTAATCTGATTTCAGAAAAAAGAAATATAATATTACATTATTCATTTAAACATTACTTAATCACTTAACACTCTCTACATTACCTAACTGACTAATTTGAAAGCACAACAATTTTTCAAGTTTGGAAACTGTCTCTTAGCATGTTAGCATCTCGTTCCGTCTGAACTCTTTGGCTGGTTGAGGTTGTCTGGCGGTGACGTCAGACACAGAGAAAACGCTTCCAAAATACTGCGCTGTAATTGGCTGAGTTATCTCAGAGGGCGTGAACCGCGTTTCTTGCGGTAGCGGATTGGTCGGTAGACCTGTCAGTCAACCCACCCCGCCTCTGGTCTCACAGTCAGGTTGATGGAGAGAAGGATAGTAGAGAGGTAGACAGACGTGGTGGAGATGTAGCAAACAACGGAAACAACAATTTTAACGCTCTCTGTTTTCTTTTACCGTGCATTTGACTTTTCTCTACCTAGTTAACTTTTCTTTTCTTATTTCACGGCGGTTTCTCCGCTTTACGGTCCGAATTGTGTATCCTTGACAACGCGAACAACTGTCCTGCGAAGTTTGGATCAAGTGTTGGACCTTCAGTCAGAAAGGAAAACAGGATATTTACCCGCTCAACTAACGGAACTGACCCCGGCGTGCATGTGGGCGCTTGTGGAACTAGTCCGATAAGTTTTTATTTTATATTTAACTTGCTGTTTTATTTGAAACCCGGTGTTTAGGGAAACGGGACAGCGCGAGACAATAGTGGTGTAGTGAGCTCGTGCAGGGGGGGGAATCGATGCCGAGCGGGGGCTTTGTTCTGCCCCGTGTGGAGACCCACCGCGAGCCCGCTGCGGACATCGACTGATTGACCGGTGGATTTATGATTGCTTGGTTATTGATAAGCGGACTCGGAAGCCGTTGGAGCAAACATGGATGTGACTCTGTCCGAGTTGCTGGCCACTTTCATGGAGTCCCCGCTGGTGTTGTGGGTGAGTGGGAGCCGCACGCGCACACACAGTTGTGAGGATACACGCGAGTTTATGACCTCTGCCTCTGCTTTACTTTCTCTCTCTGCTCGGGTACATTGTCTACAACAGCTAACTCATAGAAACAAACAGCATTGAGCTCTAATGTGCCACCCTGCTGTAGTCTGGCAATATTAACCCATTGAATGACACTTGAGACTGTTACCTTGCAGTGGTAGGACACCGGGTTTTTCAGTGTAAAAGCCTCAGATTAAGTGATCCATTGAGAGATTTGCTAGTGTATCTGGGACTTTCCAAATGTAGGTCTCAGAGTAAGTACCAAAAAGTTCATTCTCTGTTTCTTCTGCTCCACTGGTCACAGCGGCAGTCCTTTGGTTGCTGCTGTTTCCTCGCCATCATCATCTTTTGTCATTAAAATGTTGTTGAACACAAGAATTTCCCCCAGTCAGTCAACCCAAGATGCTCATTGTTTGGGTGATTTTAGCTGTCTTGTTGATGTCCGAGGGGTGGGTGTGTTAAAAGCTGTCACTTATTTTCACAGCACTGCAGCTGATTCCTCTAATCTAGTAAAGCTTTAAGTAAATAATTGGTTAACACAAATCCAGAGTAAAGCAACATCCTTTGACCCAGTGGTTCTCAACCTTTTTGCTGTCAAGGACCCCCAGATTGATACACATCAGACTGCAGACTCCTGTTTGATAAGATGTAGTCTCAGGGACCCCCGTCTGATGAGAGTTATTCCATAACTGTTTACTGTAGATTGGCAGATTAACAGTGAAGTCATTCTTATACATTCTCTCATTGGACTAACCTGTACTCAATTAAATAATAGCAAAATATAAACATTTCCCATTTTTCCGGGGTCTCCCTGGATCCCCCTCAAGGACCCACTGCACACATCAGAAATTGTGTTAGTGCAGATTTATTGATAATAATGATACAGTGTTTTTTCTGTAAAGTTAAAGATGCTTCACCACCTCGAAAGAAAGAAAAATATCTCAGATTAAATATGTGCATTCCCCTGTAGACTTTGTTACAAATACCAGTGTCTTCAGAGTTGGGTTGGGACCCAGTTTAACGCCCAGTATGGGCCCCCAGCCTCCACTGTGACAAGCAGCAGAGCAGTCAACAGCTTATTAACTCCTTGGTACCTCCGGTGTCCCTGTGACCTCACATCCTGTTGACCTGACCGGTCAACCAGCGATTGTTCCCGTCTTTGTTGGACACAGACAAACACAATAACACAGCCTCACAGTAGAAAGGCTACACAGGACAACTTTCACCACACTGCTGACTTTCTGTTTGCCATTCTCCTCTTTATTTATTTGCACATCCAAAGTTGGAGAAATATTTTGTTTCACCAGAATGCTGCTGGTACAATCTCTGAACCAGATTTTAGGATAAGTCTGGGTGGAGAATATGAAAGCGTGGCGCTTGGCTTCAGCAAGGCCCTTAATCCCCAACTGCTCCAGTGGAGTTGCTCTGTGGCCAGCAGATCAGACTGTGGTTGTACTGGGAAGCTTCCAGCTGTGTCACTGTGTGAGTGTGAGCAGGGCGTTCTCAAAAAAGAGAGCACTACTCTCAGCAAACCACCCCCCCAAAAACTATTAATTGTGCTGTATAAGTTAATCAAATCATGTAGGTCTCTTCCAAGTCTTTTTAGTACCTAATGTCCTCTTTGTACTGTCCCTCTGCTGCAGCTCAGCACAAGGAAGGATTTTCATTCTAGAAAGACTCACTTTGGAAGATGCCCAGTTGCTTTAAGATGATTTAGAAATCTTGATTGAACACTCAGCAGAATGCCAACCAACATTAACTTGAAAGGGAAACTGAAGCGTGTGTATATTTCTACTTGCAATGTAGTTGACCTCTCTTTCTGCCTCTAGGTGCGGACGCTGGGTCCATTGGGTTCAAGCGATGATGTAGGCTCCGAGGAGCGGGTCAACATGTTCATGGAGCTGGTGGACGGCGTTTTCCTGCACAAGATCATGACACACATGTAGGTAGCACCCTGTAGACTGAGAGCTTCATGTTTTATTTGCATGAGTCAGTGAAAAAAGTTCTTTTGGTGTGTGTTTCTGTGTGCCTGGACTGGGTATATGAGCGCTATGTGAGTTAATCCAGTGTTTCCGGTGTGTGTCAGTGTAAGTGTGTTTGTGTCGACCACATCCTGACTCGCTGGTTTCAGGTTGTAAACGTCGCAGCCAGATGTGCTTGCGGAGTCTGCATCAAGAAATGCAGCAGAGTATGAGAGAGAGCATGAGTTGGATCATTAGCTGTCTCTTTAGTGGTGAGCTACTGGTAACTATGGTGCAACAACTCTCAACAGATTCACTTTATGCACATTTAGTGATTGGATCTCCAGATTCAAGCAGAAAGCTGCCACTGTATAGATAAATCTGAAAGTGATGCAACACTGACTGAGAACATGAGTGCAGGATGTAGATTTCAGACAGCAGGATAGGGTTTGATAAGGTTATTCATAGACTAATACTTCTTATGCCACGAGCATGTGGTGGCAGTATCAAGGTTTTAATGGTGGTTATTCTATATATTTTTTTTCTTACTGTCAAATTAAATCCCATGAAACTACCAAAATCAACAATCTCTAAATATTATCCAACTGCCCTAACCTCAGCCCCATGCCAACTTATGAGATTGTCACAGTATGATTACTATTATTATTATTATCATCAGTTACAGTGACCCTTAAAGGAATGTAAACAAAAGGAGTTTTTTGTTGAAAGAACACTTTATGGTGATTTCACAAAATATTATGCCCTATAATTGTTTTAAAACAATAATACAGTAGAATTCAATATTTTTTGAAAAAAAGTAGAATTCAATGCTGTAGATAAGCAAGTGTACACAGTATAAGAATTGTAATTTTTATACCATGTAACTCTAAATTCATCAGGTCAACATGTTAGTTTGTCCAGTTCTTTGATTTATGACCAAATACTGACCAAATAACTGATGACATTCCCTTCAGCATCAGCTGCACTTAGTGCCAGGTGCCAATTAGCAAATGATGGCATGCTAACATCCTAAACTAAGATGGTGGAAAACATCATACCTGCTCAATATCAGCATGTTAATGTTTAGCTCAGAGCACTATTGTGCTGAGTACAGTCTCTCAGAGCCACTAACATGGTTGGAGGCTGTCTTTTTCATTCTTGAAGTATTTTTGTCACTTTTCCAACAAATGTTGACTGTCCCCATATTTAAGCAACATCACATGTCCCTACTGTGACAGCCTGTGTCACTGATGTGGTCGGACAACACATTGTTTGAACTAGTCCTGATTGAGCATAACCCAACCCATAGTCTTGTTTCTAAAGGCTCAGTGATTGAATAGAAGAGCTGGGCATTGTAGAGCCCAGCAAGAGGAAATCGTGCACTTGTTGACGACTGTTTTCAGTTATGGAAAGTGTATCAGTGTATGTGGGACTGTGGAGTCAAAATAATCTACAGTGTGTGTGTTCATGGTAATGAAGGAACCTGTCACGCAATGAAACAGTGTGGCTCACTCATGTGTTTTTAATAGTTCTTAAAAGACCAAATATGTATCAGGCGTGAATACACACACAATACTTGTTAACAGTATACATACTTTTATGATTGGTTTTGGTCTCTTCGTGGGATTTGTTGACAATAAAACGCTATAGAATATCATTAGATTTACCCATTTGGACTGCACGACATGAATACTGACCACAGTGACTATAATAACATAACATAACATCAACCTACTTGTGCGGAATCTGAATCTTCTGCCATCCAGACTGTCCCCAATCAGACCACATGTTCATATGTTAGTTATTGTCTTCAGAAACAATGATAATCACGCTATTGTTCTCCACACACTGAATGGAGGCTGGGCTAACTGGGGGGGGGGCGATTAGGACTTGGTAGAGGTTTATGGGAAAGTGGGTTACAGAGGAGGAGGAGGAGGAGGAGGCCAGGATGGAAGAGCCATGAGGAGTATTAGGGGAAAGCCACTCAGAGACAGTTGGTAAATCAGTCAGTCAGAGAACCAGTCAGCTGTTAAATCAGCCAGTCTGTAAACGTATTATTGTCTGACCTTTCAAAAAAATAGATTCTGGGCTGGGGCAGAAATTTGCAGTAATATTCAAATGTTATATGGGTACCTCTTTAATTGATTTTTTATTTTTTATTGATTGATCAGCTTGTTGCTGATAATTTGCAGTTGAAAGACAGTGGAATAGTGTTAAGATGAGGTGAGGATTTTAGAAAGGTTAAAACCTGAAATGTGAAAGGGTTTGAAGATGTCAGTTGGATTGTAACCACTGAAGCAGATGAAGTCTTGGTTAAAGAATTCAGTTGTTTTGGCTCCGTTTCAGTGAGCAGAATACGCTTCCCCAGCCAAATGAAAGTCGGGTTTTCTTGCCTCTTTATATTTGGAATAGTTTCCGTTGGAGGTGAATTGAGCTCTGGTATCGGACAGACGTCATGATGTCACAGTAGGTCAGCTAGACAGCGTTACACACCCCCTGTTCACATGCAAATCAGTCTGGCACTGGCTGACTTGTGTTGGTGTGAGCATAAATCCTTCCCCAGCACAATTGTTGTCCTGTACTTGGGGGGTGTGTGTGCAATGATCTTTGTCTCAAATAGCCACAAATAATGTCAATCTACGTGTGTGTGTGTGTGTGTGTGTGTGTGTGTGTGTGTGTGTGTGTGTGTGTGTGTGCTCCATAGTGACCCCAGCCCAACCAATCAGAGGTTGAACAAGAATGTGAACAATGACGTGTCGCTTCGCCTTCACAACCTTACCGTTCTCACCAGACACATCAGGACGTACTACCAGGTATGCGCGCACACACACACACACACACACACACACACACACACACACACACACACACACACACACACACACACACTACAGCAACATTCATGTGTCAGATCAGACAGTAAGTAGCCGAGCAGGCAGTCTACATTGTCATCATTGTACTGTAAATGTAGTCCCCACTGAAGTCTTTTTCTTTTTCGCACGTGCAAATTAGTCTTAACCACGTATAATTGTTGCTCCATATTGGAGGAGTATCTGCTGCAGTCTGCAGAATGGGGCAGGGTTCTGTGTCCCAACGTTTAATTCCACCCACTGTGGTTTGATTGGTTTAACTGTCAAATTTTGACCATGGTTAGACTAGTTGTAAACATAGAGCTTCCATTCGGATGAAAAGAAAGCTAGACAAATCTCCGTTATCTGAGTTAGCAACACTGTGAGAGTGCTGGGAGCGCAGAGCTTTAGACCGCTGGGGGGAGGAGGTTGTCAGGCTTTAGCAACAAGCATTGTCCATCAGATCACCGATTGTTGAGGCAGAGCAGCCAGAGGGAAAACCAGAAAATATATATAATTCTTGTCTCATTTGTGATCTAATAAACAGTATATTCATCAAATATCAATATCATTAGTTTCGCCAAAAACAGGGAATGAAGTTATTACGGGTTTTTTTGTACATTCAGGCCCAAAGTGTAACAGGCGTTAACTGACATAACCAGCCTGCAGCCAGGTCTAGCCACATTCTGTATTACTGAACTGTTCCTTGGTTTGCTCTGTGTGTCTTTCTGTTTGGAGATACAGTTGTTGTTGTATCTTCAGCTGATTTACTTTGCCTGGGGCGTGAAAATGTATGAGTGTGTGTGTGTGTGTGTGTGTGTGTGTGTGTGTGTGTGTGTGTGTGTGTGTGTGTGTGTGTGTGTGTGTGTGTGTGTGTGTGTGTGTGTGTGTGTGTGTGTGTGTGTGTGTGTGTGTGTGTGTGTGTGTGTGTATTTAGTTTGTCTTTTATCGATCATCATTGTCATGTGTGTGTCTTCTGACGTGTCTATTTCAAATTGGATATTACAAACATGAACCGGCCCTGAAGGCAAACACACAACAGCTCATTCTTATACATCCCTAAACCACATCAGCGGGTTTGTGCATGTGTGTTACTCATGGCCTGTATTGATGATGGTATACATCAGTATGGATCAACCTTGAACTTGCTGGCCAATCTTTTTTTAGCCTACTTGCATGAAGACCAATAATCTGCACTGATCAATACAAGCAGGAAGTAACCCAGTGAGGTCAGATCATTGTTCTTTTTTATTATATAACATAAATATCTCTCATTACACTCCAAGACTTTTTGCTTTTCTTGTTGTCACTGAGTACATTTTCTGTAACTGTAATGAATTTGTCATAGAGGAAAATATTATACCTATATAATATTATTTATCAACTTTAAATTGAAATGATCCAGAAATGCTAAGCAGCAACCTTGGTGCACTGGTGATTAATCAGTTTGCACAGGAAGACATAACAAGATAAGCAACATTCAGTGTCTCTAAAAAACATTTTTGTATGCCACAGAATTCACTCATACTTTACTGTGTCTGGGCTCATTGTAGTCTCTTAAATGAAAGCTTGTAATCACAGCGGTTACAGTACAATTGATTCTAGAAGTGGCATGTTTTCACAGCAGGGGGGAAAAAAACCCTTAGACACTTCCTGCAGCATAATCCACTTCTCTGATGTCCCTCCTTATGCCCAGTGATGCATTTTACAGCTATAGCCCATACTTAAAAGATTTAGAGAACCAAACTGTCAGCTTCTAGTTTCCACACATAAACAGATGGAGCACTGAGTGGCTTAGGTTTCTGACAAACGTATCATATCTCCCTCAACTTTCATTTCAGCTGCTTGCTGCTTTTTCAATCTAATAAAGAGATTATTTCTTTGGGACCTAAGAACTGAAATCAAACGTCCCCTAACCTTAACTAAGGGAGTTGGTATACGACTTTCTAGCGTGAAAGACTTTATACAATGTATACTATAATGGCTCTAGAAAGGATCGTTCTGGGTCATTCGCAGTACGCGCCCACCGTAGTTTCTCCTTCACGCTTGGAACTGCAACTACACCACCACAAAAACGAACCCGCTGGACCTTTTTAAAAGATAGATTTTATGTAGAGTATCACTTTAAATAATTGGCTTGCTGGTGCAGTTACCTCCCTTAACTTGTAGATTATAGACTGATGGTTGTATTATACTGTCATACACACCAGATGGGTGAGAAATTAGACTTCGTAGCACTTCAAGTTTTTCCACATATTGTAGTATAACATCGGATCACATAACACACAGAATGAGTACAAACTGCCTCAAGGGCCTGACAGAATGACATTTTGAGTGAGAGAAGAGTGTTGATACAGATGTCAGGCCCATGATGTAATGTGACCATCCTCTCAAAGCTAATCACAGCCGTTGGTCAGATGCATAAATCCTCTGTGTGCGTGTGTGTGCACGCATAAACTGTGTCTTTAGTATAAATCAGAGATAAGGAGCTCAGATGCAGTTGATTTGGCTGAGCTGCAGTCATGTCCTGCTGACACACACACACACTTCCTCTAAGCTAACCCCACACAGTGATGGGAGTGTATTGCTTGCTTGCATGGAGTTTTTGGCGTCTCTAGGAAGTATGCCAATTTGCCTGTTATGTATGTTTAAGGAAGTTTAAAGTTGTACACTGTAGGATTTGTTTAATATGTTTAAGATGGATTTAGTTTTTCACTGATGATCAGAAGATCTGATACCTCTTCAGCTTTTATTGGGTTTAGGAATGGTGATATTATTTAGAAAACTGACACTTCGGGAGTAGTACTATATAGTACTTTTATTACCTTGACAGTAATAAAGTAAATCAAATTTTGGTGCTTAGTGGTTTGTGCAGCGTAGCAGTTCACTCGCAGTGATCTTGGACCTCAGTGTGATTAAAAACTGTAAAAGTTGAAAAGTAGCATGGACTTGTGAGATGCTAAAGATGATTGGTTGATTGACTGTCTCCCTGACTGTCCTGTTGTTGTTGCACCTATAGGGACAACTTACACCATCATGTAGCTCCGCCCACCTCCGTTTTCAGTCTGTTTTCCACATACAATTGTCTGTCCTATTTGCACTGGGGAAAGATGGTATCCTAAGTAAGAAAATCCTTTATGTAAATAATTTTGAGAGGAATCAATCAATCAGACTTCATACAAACAAAATGTCTGTGTGACTCTCAAATCAAAGCACAACTGACTGGCTTATTGTGGAGCTTTCAAAGCTGAAGAAGACTGTGAGATGTGGTTGAAACAGACACAGACGTGCTGCTCTTTTTACAGACAAGGAGAGAGCAGAGGAGAGAGACAAAGACAGCAATGTAACCTGGAAGTTTTGGTAGAGTCCCAACCTGCGCCTTTATGATTCCAATGTCAAAGTTATGAACCAAGCTTCAAAGTATTTGTTACAGGCCTAATTTCCTGGGGTTCTTTTCATGTAGAAAACAAACCAGATAAGTTTGTAGTTGTGCTTGTTAAATGTCTGATAGCATGTAGTCCACCACTAGCACTGACAATATTGGTCAGAAATATCACATGTAGATTTAATCCTTCTGCCCTACCAAAATTAAACAAAGACTCTCATTATTATGACAAACAGAAAGTGGCTCAGATAATATAGAATACTTAGTCTAACATTAATTATGTGTAGCTCATGCAGGCTAGACACAATAAAGACCACATCTGCTGCTGACTGTGTGTGTGTCTGTGTGTGTGTATAGACACCATGAAGTGGGTCATTCTGGGCAGTATGGGGTTAATCTGTCCATGATGGTTAATCTCTAACCACAGTCCAATACCCTTGCCTTAACACACACTCAGCCACACAAACGTGCATGCACACACCTCATAGTCTAACCTCGAGTCAATGAGTTATGAGCTGTAGAATGCGACTTAGTTTAGGATCAGCTGCAAGACCAACACACACACACACACACACACACACACACACACACAGCTGTTTATATGGGCCTAGGTGTTTGCTTTCTCCTAATTAGATGATCTCTCGGCAGACATACAGACTGTACCAGTGAACCCTCCCAGTCTCCCCAGTGACAATGCATTAACCGTTTGTGTGTGTGTGTGTGTGTGAGAGAGAGTGAGAGAGAGAGAGAGGGAGAGAAAGGAAGGGGGGGTCTGTCACCTCCCTTCTGTTCCCTCTCTATTAAGACACAGTACACAGTAACCTGATATCACAAGCTCTGACTACTAAGCTTTTTACTCTTTTCACACTGGTTTTTCTGTCCAACTGGACTGTTGGTCAACAAAGATGAACAATTTTAAGACCTGTGTTTGACATTTGTCATTATTTTCTGACATTTCAGGCTTTTGATTAAACAGTTATTGAAAATTTAATAATGATAATAATGCTTGCTTGCTTACTTGTATGATTAAAGTGAAAATCTGAAGATTGGTATTTATAGTAGGGCTCCAGTTAACCTCATTGGCTGATTTCGTTATTGATAAATGTGTCAAAATGTTTTGTATTAACTGCAAATTGTTTATTCTATAAAATATAAAATCTTCAAATTGCTTTTTTTGTCTGACCAACTGTCCAGAACCCAAAGATATTAAATGTACGATGATATAAAACAGAGAAAAGCAACAAGGTCTTCCTCACTGGAGAAGCTGGAACTAGAGAATGTTTGATATTTTTGCTAGACGAATGACTTAAACAATCAACTATCAAATTGTTGATGATTGGTTTTCTGTCAATTGACTGATCGATTGATATCATAGTAGGGTTGAGTACTCTGCTGAAACAAGTATCTGTTCATCTCTCTAATGAACAATAAATAAATAAAGCAACTTTTATTAAAAAACAACGTAGGTCAATCGTTTTTTCAACTATCGTGATCAAAAGCATTAGTCGGAAGCTGTTCTGTAACTACTTTTATAATAAAAATAGCAATCAAGCCATATCATTCCAGTCTTAAATGAACT